CGGCCAAAGGTAACACACACTGTGTGATTCCTTTCAAATAAAGTTAAAGAATAGGGAAAATTAACCTATGGTGTAGAAACGAGAGAAGATGTCATCTATTTGATTGGGAAGGTTTATTCAAGTGTATACATTTGTTAAAACTCACTGAATTGTACATTTCTGGTCCATGCATTTCACTGTATGTAGATTTTACATCAAGTTAAAAAACTACCTTTAGCAGAATGTCTTAAAAGGGTACTCATTAGTTTAAGGACATTATCTAACATATTGATATTAATAGACTTTTTTTCTTTTTCTTTTTTTTGAAGCAGTCTTGCTCTGTCGCCCAGGCTGGAGTGCAGTGATGGGATCTCGGCTCACTGCAACCTCCGCCTCCCAGGTTCCAGCAATTCTCCTGTCTCAGCCTCCTAAGTAGCAATTACTTTTGCACCAGCCTACTACTTGGGTCAAAAGCACTCTAATTGGCTGGGCACGGTGGCTCACACTTGTAATCTCAGCACTTTGGGAGGCCGAGGCAGGTGATCACTCGAGGTCAGGAGTTCGAGACCAGCCTGGCCAACGTGGGGAACCCCCGTCTCTACTAAAAATACAAAAATTAGCTGGGAGTGGTGGCACATGCCTGAGACACAAGAATCGCTTGTACCCGGGAGGCGGAGGTTGCAGTGGGCCGAGATGGTGCCACTGCGCTCCAGCCTGGGTAACAAAGCGAGACTGTCTCAAACAAACAAACAAACAAAAACACTCTAATTAATCCAGGGTACAAACAATTTACTATTCAATGTAAAGATGAGGTAAAGAAAATTCATGGCATGGATCATTCCAAGATCCTAACAACACTCACCTTGTTTGTTCAGTTTTGTCCCAACTTCAGGTAGACTACAGTAAACGACATCTCCCAATGCTTCCTAAATAAAACAAGACAAAACCAAAAATCTCTAAGAAATTAAAACTAAACCCTCCAGTAAACAGAACAAGCAAAACACTGAATCCCCTATAATTAAGATTTAGTACATATTTTATACTTGAGGGGCTACATTCTTGGGTTTTCCTTAAAATCCTTTAAACATGTAAAAACTACTTGGTCAGGCATGGTAGTTCACGCCTGTAATCCCAGTACTTTGAGAGGCCCAAGGTGGGCATATCACTTGAGGTCAGAAGTATGAGACCAGCCCGGTTGACATGGTGAAACCCAGTCTCTAATAAAAATACAAAAATTAGCCCGGGCGTGGTGGTGGGCACATGTAATCCCAGCTACTCAGGAGGCTGAGGTAGGAGAATCACTTAAACCTGGGAGACAGAGGTTGCAGTGAGTTGAGATTGCGCCTCTGTACTCCAGCCTTGGCGACAGAACAAGACTCCATGTCAAGAATAAAAATAAATGGCTGGGTGCGGTGGCTCGTGCCTGTAATCCCAGCTCTCAGGGAGGCAAAGGTGGGAGGATAGCTTGAGCCCAGGAGTTCGAGACCTGCCTGGGCAATATAGCAAGACTGTTCTCCAAAAATAAGTAAAATAAAATGATTTTAAAAAACTATTCTCAACTCAGGAGCTGCAAGAGACCAGCCACCAGCCTGATTTGGCTCACAGGCTTTAGCAACCTGACAAAAGCCACATGCCCCAGACAACACTGCTAGCTCTTTGTTTTGTTTGGTTTTGAGACAGAGTTTCTCTCTTTTTGCCCAGGCTGGAGTGCAGTGGCCTGATCTCAGCTCACTGCAACCTCTGTCTCCCAGGTTCAAGTGATTCTCCTGCCTCAGTCTCCCAAGTAGCTGGGATTACAGATGCCCCCCACCATGCCCAACTAATTTTTTTAAATTTTTTGCTAGAGACGCAGTTTCACCATGTTGGCCAGGCTGGTCTTGAACTTCTGACTCAGATGATCCACTTGCCTCGGCCTTCCAAATGCTAGGATTACAGGTGTGAGCCACTGCACCTGGCAAATACTACTAGCTCTTCTGAGCATGAACATATTTGGTGTTCTTCCACCTCTGCAGTTTTATGTACACCATTGCCCCCGATGCATTTGCTGAAATCCTGCTCACTGATTCTACAAATCACAGTCCTCACGCCTTGTACTCCCTGAAGTCCTTGACTCCAGAAAGAAGTGGTCTCTCCATCAGGTAAGTAAATTACAACCCCACC